CCGCCTCCGCCGCCTCTTTTTCCTCTTCCTCCCTTCCCCTCCCCTTCCTCCTCCCCTTGTCCTCTTCTTCATCCTTTTACGTACCTTTCTTCCCTCTTCTTATTCCCCTTCCTCCTCCCCTTTCCTCTCCTTCTTTATCTATCTCTTCCACCTTCCATTCTTCCCATTGCTCTTATTCTTACTCTTCATCTTCCTTCTCTTATGCCTCTTTCCCTTCCTCCCCTTTCTTCTCTTCCCCTTCCTCGCTCTCTCTTCTCGTCCTCCTCCTTTCATACATCTTCATCTTCATTCTCTTATTGGCCTTCCTCTCCGTCCTTCTGCGCCGCCGCCACAGCAGCACCTCTGCCTCCGCACTTGGGCTGAGACGCGACGAGATTTGCTGAGTCGTAGAAACTGAGTGTTTCTTTTTTTTTTTTTTTTGAACGCCTGATCGCCCGGGGACGTCGTTTAGTGCGTGACGCGTGTGGCAAGAACGTCATGCAATCTCTTGTCGTGTTTTTGCGTTTTGAAGGAAGAAGTGGAAACCCAGTATTATTTTACGCATATTTGAAAGTACAAGTTACACCAGTTTCTCGATTCATACCGCGAAAGTGGTCTGGCAATTTAACTATTTTCTGCCGTGGAAGGACACATTTTGGCAATGATACCTGTTAGGTTATTATCCGTCTCCGTTGTTCAAAGACTCAGACTTTTGTCAAAATTCGGGCACACACGTTTAGTAGCTCTTGATGTAATTTTCTTCAATGACTCTCAACCCTTATCCAAGAAAATATCAAGTAACAAATATCTCTTGTGTGATGTCCAGAAGAAGCTAGATTTTCTTCTCTTCAGCCTGGAAGCGGAACGAATTTAATATTTTCGTGAATTCTTTACACACATTGAACTTGAATAACGGCATGGATGAGATCTAATTATTTTTATGAGTTTCTGTTGCAGTCAATTTTTTGTTCCATAATGTAATGAATCTTATTCACTGATTCCTCTACGGAAATTGACAGTCCCTTCCAATTCTTTCCAAACGTTTAACAATAATGAATGCGAATTTTACCAGAATTTGTTGGTAGGTAAGTATAACACTATTATATATTTCCTAAAGCATTGCATTATCCTAAAGCAAATGTCGCTGTAGGTATGCAGAAAATATTATTGTTTTCTGCGAAGAATGTGGTTTCAAAAATTAGTGTCTAGTATTAGGATATTATTCCAGGCACATATCAATATCTTAATGGGCAACCAAAAATTTCATATGTAGAACTTTAATTACAATGGAATGTTGTAAAGATGACCGGGGATGTTCTGTTTCTCAAAAATGCTGTACTTTGACCATAACAATGTTTTGTTAAATTTCTTACTCCATCATTTCATACACGACGATAGAGTTATTAAACTTCTCAAAGTTAATACACGTATTTACGGTATTTGAGAAAAAATGTTACTGGCTCTCCTTAAATGTTATCGAATTTCATTACTTTACATTAGTTTGTAGTTTCGAAAACTAAAAAATTATTCTATATTCATAGTTTTCATTCTCTTCTCGTCGTCATTCGTTCTCTCTATTATTCATAGTAGATATATTAGTGATTGTTTAGATAGCATGAATTATTGCGTACTTTATTACTACATTGCAGAAATAATGTGCGTTTTTGAGGGAAAATCTTTAGTTCCAATCTTTGCTGACTATTTGAATGAGGATTACGAAGGAGATAAAATGTTAAAAGAGTAAGTAAGAATGCTTTTCTCAGAATGAAGATGTAGTACATATTAGATAGTGTGAATAAGGAGATAAATATGTTCACAAATCATTACAGATGTTATAGATAAATAACTTTATTTGCACATAAATATATACAAAACAACACTCAATGGTCTACAAAGCTACAATACAAAAATGCGAGAGAGATGAGCAATGGGAGTCAAGAACCCTCTCGAAACGAGAGGGCGTCGACTAAGCAATTAGTGCTTGAGTTTAGTAGTGCTTGACCAGAGCGGGAGCAGCGTAAGCGGCGTAGGCGGGGGCGGCCACCTTAGCGACGGCGGGGGCGGCGTAGGCGAAGGGAGCGTGGGCAACGGGGGCGGCATACGCAGCGTAGGCGGGGG